AAAAAGGTAAAGAAAATTAATCAAATTAAAAAAGTTATTTTTTTTTCACTTATAAGGAGAGATAATTTTAAATTAAAAAATAACGAGTGAAATAATAATTTATTATTAGAAAGCTAATTACTTGTTAGATTTAAATACTTAAAAAAAAATCTAAAATATTTTGCAGGGGTGTTTTCTTGCCACCCCTTAGTTCCGCCTCTGGCAGGAATCCTCTTTCAGCAGGCGTCAGCCGATCATTCAATACTCGCAACTTCAAATCTACATAATTCCCCCCTGCTCTGTCAATTGCTGCATTGAAAAACAATACATACCCCCATAATTAGTTGGGCGAGAGCTGAATCGCCATAAAATTTAGTAGGTTTTCATTATCTCCCCTTAAATACAGAGAGTCCAATAATTACTTCCACAGTTTACCTTGATTTCATGCTCCACAACCGTGGCAGCAGAGGCAAGTTCTTGAATCGAGTTTACTAGAGGATGAAGAGATATTTTCCAGTCCAATAGTTTGCTCAGGGAACCTGTATGCCCCTGCCAAGGTACATAATGAATCTGAAGGAAGCATCCCCGGGTTTCAAATAGATATGCAATAATCATCACTGTTGGCAAGTTTCCGTTCATCTTGGACACTTGATAATTTTTTTTTTAACATTTTCTATGAGTAGTCAAACCTCACAACTCATTTCTATGAGGTTAAAGCAGAAACTCAACAGCCAGTCTACTTTATTTAACTGACAAAATATATTTTGGAGAAATTTTGATCCATCCTTGCACATCCAAGATCAGATGCGCACCTGTAACTGCTCCACATAAGAGAGGTAATCAAATGGAAGAATAGACTCATCAGCCAGGTGAAGGGCTACAGGTCCCCAAATTCCAGCAATTGAAACAATAAAAAACAGAAGCCATTTTTAATTGAAAGCTGTTGTGAGTGGCCTTATAATTTATCTGACAGTATGCATGCATTTTGACAGAAAAAGACACATAGGAGTCAGCGTGTTTTGTCAACAACACATAGGAGTCAAAAGCAGTGTGATAGACAGGGAAATCTGAACAAGTATAAGATCCCAGCTTTCACTTGGTATCATTATCGAAGAAAACTTGTGATAAGCTAAGCAATGAACTTCAAATCATTTTCTGCCATTATATGTGCTATTGCACTAGTAATGCTTCTTTCAACTGGTTTTAACTTGGCCCAAGCAGGGTTTCTGCCAGTTTCTTCTTTGGCCTCAACCATGACACCAACCTCTCAAGTTCTTGCACAATCACAGTCACATAATAAAATGCTTTTCACAACACAGACAGTAGCTGCTAACCTTGGAAGAAAACCACTCAGCACCAATCCTACTCAATCTCTCACTCCAGCAGGACCAGCTCTCTGCCCTCCCTACTGCCCTAAGAATTGAGCTAGTATGGCTTGACTTGCACCAGCGACATACCCTTCTCTCTTCTTCTTCTTCTTCCTTTTCTTTTCCTTTCCAGTGTGTTTTCTTCAGATCTAGATTGTTTTTTATAGACCTGTCTTGTTTTCCTTGCAAATAAAGTTATATCCACGTCAACATGATTCTAAATCTATCCATTTATTGTGCGAACATAGCTACAGTCCTTGGTGCCCATTGTCGGGGCTGTCTGTTCACTGTTTTGCTGTGAGTGGGAAAGCTTCGTTCCTTGGTTTATGGTTTACCAAAGCCCTGCTTCATCCATCTAAGAGGTTCACAGGAGAAGAATACCCAGTGTGTAGCTGTATTACCAGAGTCAATGCAGGTCAAGGAGATGAAAATCCAGTGATTTGTGTCATCATGTGTCTCTTAGTTTGGATTTTCTTTTCTATCTAGTGAGTTTTCTAGATAGTTATCTTTACCATGGCTTTGTACCCATGATTCAAGCTTATGAAAGTTCTCATGTGCTTCTCAGAGAAGAAATAAAATTCATCAAATGACAAAGCTGTTTCTGGCATTAAAAATTCATTTTAGAACCAGAAATTATCATCAAGGTTTGGATTATGAAATATACATCTTAAACATTAGTTCCCCATCACAGCAAGAGAATTAGATAATCTCTGTCATACTATAATCATGTTTTAAAAGTTCCTGGGGAAGTTTATCATTCCAATTTTCGGTTGCTCTCAAACTTCAAGAACAGAGACCGCCGTGTGTCACGATGCCAAAACATAGACAAAGACACGACCCAAAAGCAGGGAAGACGAGGACAGGTAGGGATGTTACTCCTATGATACCATGGCCAACAACAAAATTCTTAAAAATTATCCTAATCCCTGATCCTTTAGCTGCAATAATATTCACGAGGCTGGTTAAAAAAAATACACAACTAAAGCTATTCAAATTCCTGAAACAATTCCATTCGAGCTCCTGATAAAAAAATACCTTCATACTCTTACATTTGCATGATCATAAACCCAAACAACAGATTAGCGTAAGTAAAGACTCTTCTTTTGTCGAGGAACCTAGCAATTTACCACATACACGTTAAGATACGGTAGAAAATAGCAGTCCTGACATCCCCCCATCCCACCCCTCTCCAGGCAAATATGGTTCTGTTTCTGTAGAGCTATTACAGTTGCCAGAATTTGGGACCAGAAAAAAAACATTTGAAATTGCTGAAAGGTCCCATCCACTTTATAAGGAGATGATGGAAGTATCTTTCTCCCTCGTCCCAAAGAAATCAAACCATGGACTAAATAATTTTGTCAAATGTATTCTTTATCGATACTGCATAATGAGTCGTGTCCAAATGATTATCCATGATAAGGATCAAACTCGATCCAGTTACCCTTCCATCCTATTCTATACAAAATCAGCAGGTTAAATAATAAGTTTCAGTCCTTTTTACGTTAATATTGTCATTTTCTATTAAAATTAGGTTTATTAGTCAAACCATACCTACCACTTAAAACTATTATTTTCAGTTAAAACCGGGTGTATCGGGTTGGTACTGATTAAAAAATACTTTTCAGCATTTAAAATCTTCTCGGTAATTAAAATCGGTAAGATATCGATTTTTTTTAAAAAAAAACAAAAACAATTAAAAAATACCACAAAAAGTCAAAACGTCAGATCCACCTTCAGAGACACTCCAGCCGTAGATCCAGAGCCGTATAGTTACGTCATCCACACCAGATCACTGCCCAGAAGCAACCATAACTGTTTGATCAAAAAGTCCCATCATCTCAACCGTTGCCTGTAAGAAAGTTCACAGATCTATAATAGGAGCATCACACTTGATCACTAACTCAGGAAATCAAGACCGTAACTTATGTCAGTTGATCAGATATAGATCGTAGGATTAGATCGGAAGCTATCCAGACCGTCCAAAAAGAAGTAAGATCACATAATCTTCTGTAAGGTTGCCTACACCGGATTCCAGCCTTGTCTTCTTCTCTTTCATCGCCGGCGTGGCTTCTAGCCTCTGCTCGCTGTCTTCCGACCACGTATCACGGATACACCAACACAGAAAGACTCATCTCCTCCTTTCGAGCAAACCCCAGTTTGAATTCATCGCCTCGTATATCGCTGGGAAAAGCCAGTGCAACCTTCGGCCAACCGAAGCTTCAAGCCGTCTATCCTCTCTCCCCGGACATCAAAGGCCAACACCACCACTACCATTGTAGTCCTCTCACCGAGAGCTACCACATCCTTCCCTTTTTCCCCGAATTTTCGCAGGAAAATTCCAGCCCCCCAACAGTGGCTGGGCGTGGGCTACACCCGCAACCAGGGGTATTTTCGAAATTTCTAGTGAAATTTAAGGGTATTTCAGTGTTTTTACTGGCCAGCAGTATTCAGGTAAATTCAGGACTACTAGGAGTATTTTTAATTTTTCCTACATGTACTTGTATTTTATAAAAGATCCTAAATAATAAAAATGACAACATGTGTCCCAATGCTTGAATTTTCCCGTCGTCGCAAGCAAAGAGACCGAAGAAGAGAACATGACTAGATTTGATGGCAAAGGGGTTTTCTCCATTGACAATGTTGGGTGTAAGAGAACCAAAAACGAGATTGAATCGAACTTTGTTGATGATTGAAAATTTCAACACAAGCAAAGTTTCTTCCCTTTACTTTTCTTTCTTATTCTATAGATTTTGGTTTTTAATTATATGATTATAAGATAAATATCATTGTTAAGGCTCTAATGCAGCCTCTCGTTGACATTCTCGAATTTTTTTATTTATGTTATCAAAATATTTATTAATCCTTGTTGATTATGCATAATTGTATAAATTGAATAAAAAATAAAGATGTTCCAACATGATTTGTGTGGTTATTGTCTTTTGAAATATAATAGAAATTAATGTGCTTATATGCTTTTAAACTTGCATAGAAATTCATGCGGAGGTAAAATATTTCATTGTCAATTTAGATGATAAATACCCAATAATATATTTTAGGAATCAATTTAGCTTGGTTATGTAAATAGCTTCAGTAAATTTATTTTATTATTGTGCTTTTGCTTGATTTCTATCTGGTAATTTGTTAATTTCTTACACATATTCATCTTTCAAATGATTTAGGATTAAAATAATTTTAATAGCTAATAGAAGGAAAGTTCATTTGAGAATAACAATCTTACATGCATTTTATCACATCAAACGATAAGTATACTTGTTATCTAAAAATATACACAAAAACAAAATTGGATTTAGCAAACTCCATCTAGAGCTCTGCCCTTCTGATTTAAGTTGACATCGCTACCATCTCCTAGATAAAATCAATGGAACCTTGCAAAGTGACTTTGCCGACTATTGCTTACGCCTACAATAAGATAACGAGAGGATAACTATACTGGAGATGCATCACAGACATACATCATACCGTGTTCAGTCCACTGGGGAGGGCATGACATGAACCCTACTGAGTTTAGTCTACACTCTAACACTAGTGGATAATACTTGGGACATGCAGAGCAAATGAATTAGTTAGCAGCTCAGCCAATAAAAAAGATTCTGCTTGTGAGTTGTTTAGTCTGCCCAAAACATTTTAGAAGTAGTTTAAAAGAAAAGGGAATTCATCATCAAGCATACAGAAGAGCAACTATCAGGAGCTCCGAATCTTTGGGAAATGCACACCCTATTTCACCCTGAACAAATCGACCATGTTTTTTTCGGTAGAAAACTGGATGTGTTCTTGATTTGAATCAATCTATATTACAAAATCCCCACACTAATTCTACACAACATGCAAATCCATAACGAGTAGACAGCACTGTAAATTATCTAGCACGGTTATATCTAATTGTCATGAAACAAGACCTACCCCAACTTACAACTTCAATCACTCACAAAAAGATGGCATATGTACCTGGATGGCTCAAAGCACCCCTCCTCTATGGCTGACTTATTAACATTTTAGTGAGCTCCGAAACAGTGTGGCTGGCAAATACAGTCGATAGCATGGATCAGCTTTCTCCGAGGGCCCACCGCATCCGCACCCATATCCTTCAGCTTCTTCATGCTTAGATTCACCAACTGAAACTTACTGAAACTCTTCTCTTGAAAAATCCTCACAAACTGCCGCAACCCAATTGATGCTAACCACCTGCTCAATCCACCAGCCTTTTGAAGCTTCTTCTCAAGAATTGATGCCCTTAGCCTCTGATTTAGCAACATCTCACCATCAAGGAAACTACCCGGCCCAAGCAAAAGTCTTGGCCGCTTGATTGTTCTGGATATGTTTGACACTCCAAGCGCATCAATAGACCTAAAAGTATCAGCTAGGTTTGGCTTTCTCGATTCCATGGTTACATTCAGTCTACGTAGACTGTGTAAAGCTGAAAAATGGTGTGCAGGCGGAGTTGCTGTAGCAATAATAGGATCACCACCTCTATTAGCAGCCAATGGTGCGAGTTTATCCAGTTCGTCAACTAAAGGCATCCTCCTGGTATTAGTAGTAGCCTCAATCAGAACAGTCGATTTATGACTGACTGCTTTCACCGGCACAGCTGCTTCTGGCTTACTTGGTCCTGGGTCTAGCATCCTCCCAACAGGATGGGGAGGCACCAGAATGGTGACTCTCTGCTTTTTGACTATAACCCAACCATCTTCTCCATCAGAATCATTCTTTTTGCTTGCAGGCTTCGCTGCTACATGTCTATGCTTTGATTTTCCCATGAATTCCGCCTGGAAGTGGAACCCTATTAGAAAAGATAGAAACTACAAACAAGAATTATTCTTTCCTAAACAAAATCACATTAAACTCCTTATAAAAAAGAATGCAATGTTCCGGTTTTAATTATCTATCTGGAAGAGCCAAGAAACCTAAAATAAGTTCCTTGATTATTCACACGGAATATCTAAAATAAACTAGCAACAAAAATCAAATTGAAAGACAGAAAGACAGATGAAGTTACCCTAGGAAATAGAAGGGCTACTGCAATCTGATTAATCGATCGATTAATTCGTATCCGCGAAGAACCAAGCAAGAAATGCCCTGATCTGGGAGGAGCTTGAGCTTCGATTGATTTTCATCATATATATATCATAATGGAAGTTGTAAAACAAAATGCAAAAGATCCAATCCAAATTGTGCTACTCTCTCGGGCCTAGAGTATGATGTTAACAAGGCTAGGCCCATTTTTACTTTCGAAAAGTCTTATCAGTCTCTGTGACCAATTGATTAGTTTCCTGTGGCATTGGAAATAATTCATTTTAATAATTTTTTTTCTTTTTCTAAGAGCATTTATATATTTTTGGATTGTCATTCGTAATGTTTGTTGGCACTGGGTCTTGGCCCATTGGCCCATTTTAGCTTATATGAGGCCACCAACTTTCTTTCGTTCTTCATTTTAAAAAACCACTAGCGTGTTTGTCCGGGCCCTCGCTCCTCATAAATCTTAATTTTCTAACACTTAACTATTACCTTTAAAAGGTATGGAAAAATTACTGTACTTTTTTTTCATGTATTTTATTTTTACTTATATATTATATTATTATAATAGATATCAATATTTCACTGTGCAGTGCACGGTTAAAATTGGAGAGGTCTTTTTTTTTCCTCTCTGTTATGGGTTTTCTTTTCTTTGTGTTTTTTTTTTCTAATAAATTTTTTTATTTAATTTAGTTTATTAATGTTAAATTTTTTATTTAATTATTATACTTTTATGATATAGATCCTAGGTTAACCTTATTTAATGAGTTAGTCCAAATTTTTTTCTTTTTAATTATTTTTTTTTATTTAATTATCAGACTTTCATGACAAATATTTAGGCATGATAGGTTAATCTGGTTTAACCGGTTAACTCGTCAATTTTTTTTTTCTATTTCGTTATCAAAATTTCATAACACGTATCTCAGATTTAACAGATTAATCTGGTTTGAAGGGTTAGCCGTTAAGTCTATATTTTCTTTGTAAGCTTTTTAAAAACTTATGCAACACGTATCTCAGATTTAACGGATTAATCTGATTTGAAGGGTTAACCCAGTTAAGTCTATAGTTTCTTTGTAAGCAGTGAAAAAGCTTATGCCTTTACTTTATTTTTTTATATAATTTTTTAATATTAAATTTTTTTTGTTTAATTATTAGGTTTTTATGATATGGATCTCAGGTTTGATGGTTTAACCTAGTTCATTCATATTTTTTTTCTTTTTCTTCAATAGATTTTTTCTTTTTGTAGGTTTTTTTTTCTCTTTACTTTTTCCTTTTTACTTTTTCTTTCTGTAGGTTTTTTTTCTCTTTACTTTTTCCTTTTTAATTAATATTTATTTTTAATTTATTTCATTAATATTAAATCTTTTTTCTATTTAATTATTACACTTTTATGATACAAATCTCAGGTTTGACGAGTTAACTTAAATAATTTAGATTTTTTTTTCCTTGTTAGTAAAAGGTTGATGCCCTTTGTTTGTTTTTGTTTCTTTAAATTTTTAATTATTTTTTTCTTTTAAAATTTGTTAATGTTTAATTTTTTTTCTATTTAGTTATCAAACTTTCATGACATAAATTCCAGGTTTGACGAGTTAACCTGATTTGATAGGTTAGCCTAGTTAATTTTGGGTAACCTATTTTTTTTTTCTATTTAGTTATCAAACTTTCATGACACGGATTCCAGGTTTGACGAGTTAACCTAATTTGATAGGTTAGCCCAGTTAATTTTGGGTAACCTATTTTTTTCTATTTAGTTATCAAACTTTCATGATATGAATCCAATGTTTAAAAGACTAACCTGATTTAAAAGGTTAACCCAGTTAATTTAGATTTTTTTTCTTCATTAGTTTTTTTTATTGGTTTTTTTTAAGCAATCTATTTAATCATCACACTTTTATAACATGATCTTGCAGACATACCCATATCTAAGGCTATTGGATCTAATATTGAAGCTAGACCCATTTAAACTTGGATCATGTAACAGACAGACCCATATCCAAGGCTATTGGATCTAATATTGAAGCTAGACCCATTTAAACTTGGATCATGTAAGTTGAATATTATTATAAATATTACTCTTAAGTCAAGCGTTACAGTTGAATTCAAAACTCTTAGATATAACTTTACAGAAAAACTTAACACTTTTAAATCTTAACTTTTTTTGATATTTTTATACAAAAAAATTAACCTGTGGTATCGTGCGGGTCATGTAACTAGTATATATCAGTGCACATAGAATTAATTCTCATCAATGTTTTCTTGTCCATGTAAATATTGTAATCTATAGTGATAATTTTATCTTTTAAAAACCGATTACATGTTTGGGGTACTTTTATATTTTATTGCACAGTATAATTATGCTCACATCCTTGGAAAAAACAAGACAACTAGCGTTTAAAGATGTTTTTGAATTTTTATAAAAAAAATAATTTAATTATCTAATAGACCTTGTGGTTAACTCTCTTTTTTGTTTTTGCCATAAAGGTGAATTTTTGGTTTTTTGACATTGTTTTTTTACCATTGTTATTTGGAATCAAGGTTGTTATAATCTTTTAAAAATATAAAAATAACTAACACGTACAAAACATATATCAAGAAATGAGAGGTGCCAACACCTTTTAGACCATATGTGTGATGCTTTCTTATTGTTATTGGTCCTCTTGTGTGGTGATGTTCAAAGCATTGCACCACTCTTTATATGGTGGGTTAGCACGTGTCAGCAGTCAAGACACGATAAAACTCTTGCAATAATTTTTATCTTTTCTTATCTTTTTCATTGTAAAATTGTAAAATAATTATCAATCTTTTAATTGTATCAATTTTTTTTAATTTTATCCATTGATATTTGATATTTTATTTTTTTCTATCAAATCTGATCATTGTTTTTTTTATTCCTATTTATTTTACCTTTAATCTTTTTTCTAATTAGATTTTATTTTTCAATTTCATCCTTAATCATTTGACTTTAGTATTTTTTTTAAAAAAATTGATTCTCGTTTTTATAATTACAATTTCTTTTATTTTTTAGTTCTCTTAGTGATTAATTTTTTTTAACAATTTTATCCCTCGTTATTTAATTTCATTAAATTTTTATATCATATATGATGCTTATTTTTTTATCATACTTTTAAAACCTATCAAGGGAGTCGACTTTCGTCATATCTTAAGCCACAAGTTGGGTTGAATGATTAATGTTATCGAGGTTAATTAGATTTTTTATCATGCAGGAAATAAAAATAATATTATTTTGATAAAAATAAAATAAAATCAATGGGTTTTGACGTGATTTTCCCTTATCTAATCGCTTGATTTTTTTATTAAGCTAAAAAATAAAAAAAATAATATTTTGATAAAAAATAATAATGAAGAAAAAACTAAATGAGCTTTGACTTAATATTCTCCTAGCTAATCATGTTATTAATCAACTCAAGATCATGATCCCGTCAAGCCAAGTCATTTCTCCCCCTATTGTTTAGGACTCAACTTAACTTAGATTTACGAGTTAACCTGCTTGGTTAAGTCAGGTTTTGCAATAAATTTTTTATATTTTTTTAGATTAATTATTTTTTTAATTTTATCGCTTAATATTTAATTCATCGAGATTTTCGTGCCATCATTATTTTGAATTTTTTTTATGAGATAATCTTGTTTTAATTACCAAAGTCACGAGTTTGGAGAATTATTTTGAGTCATCATCATCATTTTATTACACCTTTTTTAATTATTTTATTTTAGTTTGATTTATCAACATTTTACTAATTCTGAATTATTCTTTAATAATTTTTTTTTATAAAATTGTTACAATCTCATATCCTGATCGTAAATTTAACGAGTTAACTTAGTTTTACACGAGCATATACTCCTTTTTTTTTTTAATAATTTCCTATAATTTGGACAATTGTCTATTTTGATTGTTCCAATCTCATATCCTGATTCTAAATTTAACGAATTAACTTAGTTTTACATGAGCATATACTCTTTTTTTTTAATAGTTTCCTATAATTTGGACAATTGTCTATTTTTTTAATTTGTTTATAATCATTATCTTTTTATTTATTTGTTTTATCACATTCAATCGATTAAATGACCCAAATCTCAAAAAAAAAATCTCACTTTTATAAATCAACTGAATTTTTTTATCCAATTAACTCCCGAGTCTTAAAATTTTAAGACTTTTTTAAAAATAATTACTTCGCTTAGGATTTGTTTTTGCGATCGGAGGAATCTCAACAGCCTGTGGTGTAATGCAGTGTTATTAGATTAGAGAGGGTTGGATTAGAGAGAGTCCACAGCCCAATAATGATACTAATATACGCAATCTGAAAGAGAGCTAGTCCAGGCAGTGTAATGTAGTGTTATTCCATGTTAAAGCAGGGAGGAAGCCGTATGCATCCAACATGTCCACCTGATATAGAAGTTGTAAAGACGGTGGATAATGGAATGGGTTTCATGTCAAAAGAGCATAATGGGAACTCCCAAGCTGGAGAAGACATTATAATGTCAGATGAGGAGGATGCAGAGATGGACCCTATTGCGTATCCATGAAGCTGGAATTGTCTTGTGCAATCTTTATGACTTTTACCGTGATTAAATTGTGTTTTGGGGATTGTAGGTGGGCGAACAATAATGGGTTTCGCTCCTAACCTTAACTCATAATTTTAAGAGGACATATTCCTTTGATGTTTTAGCTCTAGCTGAAACATGTTTAAGTGGTAAGGCTGTAGACACTATAGCAGGCAAATTGAAGTTTGGCTCTAGCTTCCGTGCAGAGGCTCAAGAGAGATCGGGGGGAATCTGGTTATGATGAATGACTCTAAAATAAATGTGAAAGTCTTGAGGTCTTCCCAATACTTCATTCATGCAATATTTGATGAGGGAAATTCTTCACAGTGGCTATACAACTTTATGTTTGCCAATCCCAATGAATCTTTAAAGCTAGCGTGTTTTAAGGAAATTCATTTGGAGAGGACGAGAAAATCAGGTTTATAACATAATATATGAACGGTTGGATAGGGGTTTCGACAACCAGTTATTCAGAGTCACGTTTCCAGATTTTTTTATTCGAGTTCTACTCTACCCGGGATACAATCAGACCACCATCCTATATTGGTGGACTTCAACGGC